CATTCTGTCTTAACACTGAAAAAAATAAGCTGTGGATCTGTGAATGTCCTGTTGATTTGACATTACAACAGCCAGGTGTATGGTTTCTTGTTGAGGCCCAGGCAGTTTATTGATCTTACAACTTGTAGCACCACTTGGAGGGAATGGATGAATGGGGTTCCAAAGTATAAATGCTTAACACGGAACAATAGCAAAACCCAGCACTGGTCACCTTGGGATCTGATGTCCGGAGTCAGACACTTCAACACTTGAGAAACCGAGTCCAAGAGGGGAGAGTCAGAATCGCCGTTGAGCCAGGCACAGATCAGGTAGGTAGTGAGCGCTTCCCCGGACTCCAGCGCTCCGCAGACCACTGGGAGTAGGGAGGGATGGATCTCGTGGTCCTCTCCAGTCCCACGCCGCGCCCGCCCTGTGTCACTTGCGGTGCTTCTCCATCTTCTCCAGAGTCTTGTTGGAATCCGCAGGACTCTGCTCTCCGGGGTTCATGTAGGACTTGTCTATCAGGCTCAGGGCCTCTTTCATGTAGTTCTGCAAGGCAGACATGGCCGCGCAGATGGCCTGGCTGCCGAAGCCGTGGGTGATCAGGCTGAAATGCGACAAGCAGTTCTGGATGTTCGCCTCCAGCACCAGGGGGGGTCTGTTGTTCCCATTGGGGGTCCGATCTTGACTGAGGAGGTCCGTGAACTCCTTGCACACTTGCCTGTGAAGAAGTCAGTCAGTGGGGTCCTGTCAGCTTTATCTAGCACCTCCCAGGTGAGGAGCAACAGAGCTGGGAACCAGCAACTGCAAGGTGGCAGGGGACATTCCACCAGAGCTGCTGGGCTGCAGGAAGAGCAATTCACCGCGTTCCTGGCCAGTCCCTGCCGCTGCCAGGGAGCTCTGACTTGAATGCATCATGTCCCCATGGTCAACTCAAACCTCCTGTAACCGTCCCGGGGGTACAGGCTACCTGATGGGACAGTCATGCCCACGAGTGGACCACACTGCACCTCTTAGCACCTATCAGGTGCCTGGCCCTAAGAGAAGGGCTTTCTAAGCACTAGGCACTATCTCATTTAATCCTCCACTGAGATTAGAAAGACAACAGGAAAAAGAAAAAGAGATAACAGGATTAACCCAATCAGCTGGCCAAGGTCACCAGGACCTACCTCCAAGTTGACAAAGAGTTTATGCTGGTACAAAACTAGCCCAAACATGGGCTGGGGAAATAGCTCAGTGATCTAAGCACCTGCCTGACAGGCACAATGACCCGAGCTAATTCCTGGTACTGCATGCCATGCTGCCCTGAAACCAGGCGTGGTAGCATACGCCTATAATCCCAGCTGGGGAGGCTGAGGCAGGAAGATCACTACAAGTCTGAGCCGTGTAGTGAGATCTTGTATCCAATGATAATAAAAATTAGCCCCAACAAATAAACCCTAATCAGGAACCCAGAAAACCATCACCTCCGCAAAACACATTCCCTCCATGCGGGCTGGTTCACTGCCCTCCCACCTCCTTGGCCAAGGCGACAAGCTCTGCTTCGTTTAACGTGATTTAAAAAAAAAAAAATTGCTGGTTTCTGAGAACTCCACAGTTACAATATGGAACTTCTGAGAAATAATTTTTTGAAACTCAGCTGTGATTTCTCTCATCTTTACATTTTAAATAAACAAGTCTCACTACCCAGGAGGCTGAGGCAGGAGGATTCAAAGTCCTACAAGACTCTGTCTCAGAAAGGAAATTAAACTGGCTGACATGTAGTTCAGGGCTCCCTGGGTTCAGTCCACAGTACCGCACGCATGTACCTGGCTCTGTGAAAGTAGCCGGAGTTCTCTTTCACTTCTACCTTGCATGCCACGAATGCTCCTTACTGGGGCCCAAGGGTCTCTGCTGAGCCCCAGTTCCAGGCTCTCGAGCAACCTGGATACTCACTGTGCAGCCAGGAGCATGTTCTTCCTGTTCGCCATCTCGTTACGTCCTCCAAGATGAAGTCTGGTTAAGTACTCGGCCACTGGCTTAGTAGGAAACTCAGCTTCGCAGACGTATGCAAAGTCTCGGGCCAGGTGAACCGCTTCGCCTAGAACCATTACCCACAGCAAGAGATTCAGTTAGTCCATGGACGGTGGTCACTGCCGGCAAGCTGTCCCTTCCCTTTTTTTCTAGCACTCACTATCTTACCAGTCACTTTGCATTCTACAATGAAATCAGGGCCAGGGCACTATACCCGCCTGGCAAGTGCAAGGTCCTGAGTTCAATTCCTGGTACCAAAATGAAGAAATAATGAAGTCATGCTCAGGACAAACTCTCTGGCAGCAAGGCAAGCTCCAGGGTACTAGGGCCGGTGCTCTACCCTGGGAATACTGAAGTGAGTGAGGATCAGACCGTGGGAGGGAAAAGGACTCCTGGGATTTTAACTCAGATTATTAACCGTGCTTGTAAGAAATCCACCCTTTCATGATGAACAGATAATCAGACACAACCGTGTCTTCTCTAGCTTAAGAGTAACCGTGGGAAGCAAAGGCGTTCAAGGAGATGAGCAAGTCTGGCCAAATAAGAGTGGTCTTCAACAGCAAGCCGGGCTTTGTTCTGAGAGTACAGGGTCAGGGCTCGCTAAGGAGCCCTGGGCTGCGCTCAGACTTGCAATCCCCTTGCCTCAGCCTCCGGAGTGCTGGGATTATGGATGTGCATCACACCTGGCCTCATTTTTTTTTTTTTTAAAAGGAGCCCTGTTACTGAAGGGTGCATAGTTCAGGAATGTGTTTTTCTTTTTTTTCTGGAAGGGGTGTTGGGCATGGCAGTGTACACCTGTAGTCAGCACTTGAGAAAGACTGAGGCAGCAGGATTGCTGAGTTCCAGGCCAGTCTGAAGTACACAGTGAGCTCAAGGCCAGCCTGCACTATATAGTGATGCCCTGTCACTATATAATCAAATAAACAAAAACACCAAACCCAAAACAAAAACAGGCAGGAGGCATGTTTCCTATTGGAAAGGAATGATAAGATCCTCAAAACACCAGCCTGGAATATTCTTTCCCTTTGCCCGTTATTGGGGGAGAGAGGGAGGTGCCTCTCTCTGAGTGCAAGACGCAGGCGCAGAGCCATGTGGAAACCCAGGTGGCTGGAGGGGCCTCTGGCCGGAGGATCTGGGCTCGGAGCCACCACCCAGGCACCCTGTCCATTCAAGCACCCCTGCCCAGCTGGCGAGCAGGTCCAGCAGACGGGCATCAATGCTGCAGGAACGGGAACCTCCTGTTCTCACAAGCAGCCCTTTCTGCACACCCGACCTCCCCAGACACTCATGAGAAGGACGAGGGCCTCAGCCACATCTCAGCACCCAAGCTAGGTCGCAGGCTGGGCAACAAGGTCCTCCACCGAGCTGCTCGCGTGAGCTCCCTGCTCACCCAGCCAGCCAGCCAGCCAGGGTGCTCAGTCCAAGGATGGGGAGCTGCTGGTTTCACTTAAAAAAAAAAAGAGTGACTTCTTCCTTGTCCCCTTCAAGTTGTAGTGCATTCTTGGCTACTTTGCAGACTGGGGGTAGGGGGCTCCCACTCTGGAAACTGACATGCTATATACATCTGCTGATCGGGGATAGGAGTTCTTTTGCTGACCAGGGGCTCCATTACTTTCTTCTTTTGATGGGAAGAAGCAGCTGGGAATGGAGCCAGTTCCACTGTGTGTACTGACCACAATCCCGACATTCCAAAGGTTACAAAAATCAGGCCCGATCCTTCTGCCCAGCAATGAGTAACTGCCTGCTGAAAGAGGTACTGCATGTCAGCAGCCATCTGTCAAAGCCTGGGTCATTTAAACAGGAACCGTGTCACCGCCCCCATGGTGTGAGCTCTTAGGAAAAAAACTTTATTTATTTATTTATTTTTGTGGAACCGGGGATTGAACTCAGGCCCTTGCGCTTGCTGGGGAACCGCTTATTCCACTGAGCCATCTCTCCGGCCCCAAAAAAACTTTTTTTAAAAACTAAAAACCTTTTTTGGAGCTACTGGGACTGAACCCAGGGCCTCCGCAACGAACCACAACCTTAGCAGGCCCCCTTTTATAATTTTGAGACAGGGTCCCACTGCGCTGCCAAGTTTCCCAGGGTAGGCCCAAACTTGCTTTCCTCCCAGTTTCAGCTTCCCAAGTGCTGGCATTCCAGGGATGCACGGCTACCTACTTCTTTTTAACAACAGATTTTTCTGGGGAACCCAGAACAGAGAGAATGTGAACACCCAGATACTTAAATAACTTATTAATAAGTTATGGATCGTTGTGCCTAACAAGACAATTCAAATTGCTGCTATCCTCTCCACCTGTGATGGAGGTTCTATATTCATAATTTTGCTTTTACGTGAAACTCTTAAAAACAACACGAAGCACAAATTTAAAACACTGCATCACAAGGATGCAGCAGCACTGACCTTCCACAAGGGACGTCAGGAGGGTCACGTGAGCAGCCTTGCGCCTGCCAGCTGGAAGATTCAACCCTATCTTGTCCAGCTTCTCCCGCAAGGACCGACCTCCGTTTTTGGATTTAGCTCTGAAAAAAAGAAAATGGGCCCCCTCTCAAGAAGCCGCGCTGTGAGAATTCTACAGTCCTGAAGTGCTGCTATCAAAAGCTGTGGTCTAACAAAAACTACGTTAGTCGAGTCATAATCCAGAGTGATAATCGGAGGTGATATGGGTTCCTTCTTTCATTAATCCCCATACAATTAAAAAAAACCATCAAAAACCTTCCCTAGAACCACCTCCCTTAAAAAAAAAAAAAAAAGGGTAGAACATTGCAAGTTGTGCTGGAGCAGATAAATTTTCACTTGTAAAACTGCAACAGCTCTCTCCCACCAGACGTTCCCTGGGGGGACAAAACCCAGGCAGCCCCCCTCTGCTGAGTGCGGATGCTGCGCTTCATACACGCAATCCAGTTCCAACCCAATGATAATTTGATAGTGCTGTGTTAGCACTTCCTTCTCCATTTGGCACTTTCTAGAAGAGAAGAAATGCGCTCCGAACTCTCTCTGCGCCCATTAGAATTCAGTGTGAGGGATAAAAAGTTACATAAATGTTAAAAATACCTCCCAGCCCTCTCACATGCTTACCCGCGGCTGCCCCACGCCTGGGCCCCCATACCTTCTGAGAACACCACCCAGCAGGGAGGCGTTCAAGCATTCAGGCGGCGACAGTCGCCTCTGGACTTCAGCCACGGTCACTTTATATTTAGATGTGGAGCTGAGGAGGGACAGTCTTCCGGGGACAGAGCAGAAGACCTCACTTGGATTCATCACGGCACCCACCAGGTCCTTCTGACAGGGAAGGCTCAGAGGGTTTTTAGTCATCGAGATGGGACCTGTGGGGACACCAAGGCCAGCAGTCACCAGTATGGCACCACACGCCCTTTCAAAATCACCGACTGAGACAGAGACCATGAGCTGGACAAATAGCCTCACACACTGGTCTCTGAATTGCAAGCAGTCTGTTGAAAAAGTTCTCAAAAATAAATCAAATCCGAAATTCACAAGTTAACACCTTGGGAAGCTAATGAGGCAGATCCCGGGCAAGGAGGATTTTCAGTTCCCAGCTTCTCGTTTAATGAGACCATTTGTTTTCAATACAAATGGATGACGAATTTCCCCCCTCATCAGGACAAGGAGGGCTCCAGGTCTCCTTCTGCTCTTTTGCCAAAAACTCTTCAATGCAACTGAGGACAGTGAAGTACAAAATACAAACTAACCCATTCTGTTGGAAGGGTTAGTAGATTTTTTAGTTTTATTTTTCAGCTGCTCTCCAAGCCCCGTATCTCCCATCCATTCAATTTCAAGTTACAGACCTTAACAGCTTTTATAATATTTTTTGGGGGAAGCGGGGCTGGAGACAAGGTCTCGCTGTGTAATCCAGGCTGGCCTTGAACTCACTAGTAGACCAGCCTGACGCTGAACTCACAAGATTTCCACACCTCAGCCTCCCCAGTACTGGGATTGCAGGCTTTAATTTACATTTCCCCAAACAACCAGACTAGCAAACCTGTCAGTGTGGATCTAAATTTCATGAGCCACTCACTCCAACTAACCCAATTTTCCTAATCTCTCCTTCCCTGCAAAACCTAGCCCCGCCCCCACCCCATCCCAGTTCTTGAATCTCCGTTCCCTGTAGCATTGTTTAAAGCAAGTCAAACGGTTTCAGAAAACCCAGATCAGAATTAAAGAGCCCCACCCATGCCAGTGTTTGAAATCAAAACCAAAATCCCATCAACTCATTCAGTTTAAACTGTCACAGAACGAATCACTCAAGCAAGGCGTGTCTGTGTGGTTGTTTTCAAGGTTAGGATTCGACCCCACTCTGCAAAGGCAGAGCTCTGACACGGAGAACACCCATTTCCTTAGAAAACTCCGGATCGGAAATGTGGACAGAGACGGTTCCTAAGCCTTCCATCAGAGAACCCCTTTTTCCTTAAAGAAATCCTTTCTAATCCGGAAAATAAACCCTAGCCTCCTCGAGTCCCCTCCACCACAGACGTCCCACGTTGGCCAAGGCCCAGGCTGCCGGTAAGTGGGTGACTTCAAAATCGGCGTGGCAGTATCATTTACCTTTGCGAATCACTGTCTGGTCATGCAGAAGCAGGTGCTGGTCGTCGACATTCTGGGGAAGAAACGACAAAGTTTCCTTTAAGTTCAGGGCACGGCGGGGTGTCCCCCGCAGGAGCCTCGGCGCCCCCGCTCACCTGCACTTCGTCCATCTGGTGAGCCATGTCGTGCAGCCCCAGGTTGTCCGCCAGGCCCGAAGGGTCCAGGGAATGAGCGTGGGGCAGCAGTAAGTCAGAGCGGCGGTAGGCGTCTCTGCGGGAGCTCACCGAGCCCCCGTCCAGCCCAGACAGGTGCGGAAGCAGGCCCGCCGGGCGCCCGTGGTGCGAGGGCAGGCCGGCACCTTCCTGGCCCTGGCGGCCAGGCCAGCTCTGTTGCTGGCTGCCGGTGGGCGCCGGCTGGTGCAGCGGGTTGATGGCGGCGGCGTAGGCTTCTCCCAGGTGCGAGTAGGGGTCGGCCGACTGCGAGTACGCCAGCTGCTGGTAAGGCGGCGGGAAGTAGGGTGGTTGGTACTCGCCAATCCCGGCGTGCGAGAGCGGCGGTGCGGGGCTGTAGAGGTGCTGTCCTGCCGAGGACAGGTGCGGGATGCGCGGGGTACCATTGCTGCTCCCGTCGTGGCGATCCTGTAAGAAAGAGTGCAGACCCGGTTAGTGCGAAATCGTGTTGCTGCGAACTGGCCGCCGCAAGCCAGAGGAGCCAAGCGCCCGGGGGACCTGCCCCACCCCCGCCACAGGCCCTGCCTCGGGTCGGAGGGTACCCAGGGGCGCTGCGCCCCGAGGTGTCACCGCGCGCCCGCGGAGGGGCAGTCGCTCCAAGACCTGAGGGACCGAGTCATCCACGCCCCTCGGCGAAGGTCTGGGCGCTCGGGTGCCCGGGGCGCCCAGAGGTGCCACGCCCGAACCCCAGGTCTTGGGTCTGGAAGAGCCGGGGCTGAGGCCGTGGCCGTCGCCCGGGGAGGAGGCCGGCGGGCGCGGGACACGGTGCCGAGAGCGTTCTCTCTTTAGCCCGCACATGTCGCAGTGGCGCGGCTGGGTGAAGCAGGGGAAGGGCTGGGCGCACTTTCCACACCCCAGGGACCCTCCCTTCCACGCCCTTGGGACAAAGACCTCGGGGCAGGTGACGCTCCCAGGCAGTGCCAGCCTCCCAACTCCGCCCGAGGCAACAAGGAGGGAATGCGCAGTCGTCGGGGCCAAGAGTCACGTCAAGTAGGGCCAGGCGGTGCCCCCGATCACTGTACGAGTTCCCACACATCCGGGTGAGTGCACCAATGGCAAGGAAGACCCTGAACACCCGGCAACCTGGCCTGCGCGCCGCACTCGCCTCCGCCGAATTCCTACAAGATGCGTCTCCAAGGGTGGCAGGCAGACCAGAAACAGGATGGCGTCGCCCCCTAGCGGAGTGTGCGCGGCTGCAGCTGGCGCGGCCCCCGTAAGTCCCGCAGCAGCGAGCGCTCCCGCGCCGGGGCCGCCCGGGGCTCCACTCTCCGCGAGCGCTGGAGCTCGCATCCCGCCGCCCGCGTCTTCTTCCTCTTCCCGCTCGCCGCCTCCCTCCCTCCTACTCTCCGAAACTCTAGCTCAACCTGTCCGACAGGCTGGAGCACTCGCGAGCGCTCCCGGCCCCATCTGGCCCCAGCTCCCACAGCATGCCCCAGCCCCCACCTCTCTTGGAAAGCCAAGTTGCAGTTGTTTTCTGGTTTTCCCGAGGAGACAGCGGGGCAGGTGACAAGCCTGCCTCGGAGGACACTCCGCAAAGGTGTCGCCGGCGGGGAGCCTCATTGGACCCCTTTGGACTCAAACTTCCAGCGCGAAAGCCGCATCTCGAGGCTGCAGGCGGGCGCGCTTTCGAGAACGCGGGCAGAAGGGCCGCTGGCTTCGCGGGAACCCGACCGGTGAGCTCTGCCAGTCTCCTTCCAGGCCGGGCCCGGGGCTGGGTATTTAGGAAAGGGCCCGGCACGAGAAGGGGTCCCGCAGAAATGGGCAAGGGCGTCGGGAGGACGGAGCCCCGTCCCGCCACCGCGCGGCGAGGCTCCTGCGTGCGGGTCCCGGCCTCGCGGGGCGGAGCGGGGTGGGGCTGCGCCTCTGCGCCCTGGCGCCCAGCTCACCTCACAGTCCTCTTCGTACTTGACATTATCGGTTAATTTCCACAACATGGCGTCCGGCGTCCCCCAAAACAGTCGCCAGTTAAATCCAGGTTCTTCCCACCCCCCGAGCGATAAATCCAAAATTGGGGTCACGGTGGCCGGGCGTCTGCCGCCGCCCCCGCAGCGCGCGGGCCTCGCTGTTCGGTCACTGAACGCCCATCGGCGGCTCGCGGGTGGAGACACTGCCGCCGCCGCCGCGGGTGTACAGACCGCTGCCGTGGGCCGGGATGCCGCGCCCGCTCCGTGAGTCCCGCCGCTCGCCGGGGGGACCCGAGCGCCTTATTGAGAAGGAAATTACCATAACTCCTCCCCGGGGGCTGGCGGAGGCCCCAGCGCGGGCGGGGCGGCCCCCAGCCAGTCCCAGGCTGGCTCCGCCCCGCCCTCGGCCTAGAGTCGCGCCGGCCCCCACGTCGCGCGGGGTGAGTAGCGCAGTCTGTGCGCGGTACTAAGGGGACAGTCGCGAACCTGTGAGGCCAAGGCACCCGCGGCCTTATCCTTGGTCCAACCGAGCTGGGAACCGAGCTGCAAGTATCTAAGAGCTGTGAATGCAGAATGTCAACAGCTGGGGTCCCCTCATCTCCGAAAACCGCTTCCCGCCCCACTCGGCCCTCCCCCCCCGCCCCTAAGATTTAGGGTTTGGGCTGCCCGGCTCTGGTCTTCTCGAGTCAACCCTTTGCCCTGTCCCTCGGCTCTGCGCCGTGGTAACCCCGGCGCACGCCCCCAGAGAGCGCAATGAGAAAAGGCTTGGGGGGCGCTTGCCCCAGCAACAAGAGGCAGCCGACTGTGCTACCCGACCACAAGTGGGAACCACGGCGTGTCACCACTGGCGCCCCAAACTGAATCTCCCGCTGCTGGTTGTGGCCGAGGGCACTCATATCCCCGGCCCAGCCCTGCAGCCCTGCCCTGCAATGCCGAGCGAGCACCGCCCCACAGCCTCCACTTTCCCTGGAAGAGAGGTGCCGGGCCAAATCCAAACGGGGCGCGGGGCGGGTGGGGTTAAGAGGCGCGGGAAGGTGGGAGGAAGCTGCGGGGAGACCCCCTTGGAAAGGAGGTAAACAGCGGAACTTTCTACAGAAACGTTGCCTCCCTCCCCCAAACATAAAGCCAACGTTTCATGTTAATTTTTGTTATTTTAAAGAAACGAAATTCTTTGTTCCAATTACTAGAATTGATCACTTTGCAAGAGAAAAGTTGGCAATTGTTTTTGGAGTGGGGAGGAACTTTTATTGGGACAACCTCCTGCTGGGGGGAGGGCAGATTTAAATATTCCTAGGGAGTTAGAGGAACGAACAATTTCAAATCCGAATGTAAATTTGCAGTCTCCACTAGCTATCTGTACAAGACAGCGCCTAGGAACCAGAATGTACCGGGCAGCATCTTCCACAGAATCATGACATTCAGCATCTTCCCGCCCCTCCTTGGGTTGGATGAGCATGTCTTTAGATTCAGATGGGCCTACAATGAAACAACTAAAAAAAAAAGCTGCCCTCCAAGCGAACTTTCCTCTTCTTAGAGAGCAGTCAGATCCAAGATGACATTTCCTACAAGAAGTGCTAAGAAAACTTGAAAGTTGAAGCTATTGGACCTTCCGGACTGGACCAAGGAGGGTGGGGGCGCTTTGCTCCGAGAGCGTAAGGCAGACCGAGCGTTTAAAGGGTGCGCGATCGATCCTGGTGTCTCATTTCCCAAGCTGGGAGCCTGGGGTGAAACAACCGCAGGAGCAGGGCTCTTGGAGCTTGGATGAGGGAAGGGACACCTGCTGGACACGAGAATCCGACCCGCGCGGCGGGCACACTGGCGCCCGGGACGGCGGGGGGGGGGGTCTCATGCTCTCGCGAGAAGGTGGTTGCGGCGCTTCCCTCGGGCGCCCCACAGTCGGGTTCCCGAGACTCTGGGTTCCCCCTCCCCTGTGGGCTTTGTAGCCTCGGGTTATTCTCCGAGACCCGATCGCGGTGCAGCTTTAAGTCTGTTAAGTGTTGACCACTTTGCCTCCGCAGTGTGGCGCCAGGGTTAAGCTGAAGGACGCTTGCATCCCACAAGCCAAGCTCCAGCTGTCCTTCCACTCGCCCGCCGGAGCCGCCCGCAGGACCAGAGACTCCTGCCTCTGCCTAGCGTGGAGGCTAGGGCGCCGCGGGCACGCAGGGTCTGCGCCGCCTCTCGTGAGTTCCAAGGGCCCGGAGCCTGCGGAACCGCTTGGCAAAGGCGCACGCCAACTGCAGCGCAACCCTCGGCGGGGAAGGCGGCTGAAGCAAATCCTCTTCCTGTCTCCGGGGACCCTGCCCCAACACGCACACGCTCGGCTTCGGGCCGGAACCAGGCGCGCGTCCCGGGTCGGGCCGCCGGAAGCCTCGGCTTTGTGGGAGCCCAATCTAGCCGAGCTCACCGAGACCGATGGCTCCAGTACCCTAGACGGCCCCCTCCTAATCACCCACCCCTCGCCCACGGGAGGACTCGCGCGCCTGGCCGCGCCGTTGGGTACCAGCGCCCGGGGAAGGTGCACACCCGGGCCTCCGGAAGCCTCTCGGCAGGGAAACGAGCGATGCAAAGGTGAACGACTAGGGGACAGGGGGCTTCCCTCTGCTGCCCCCTAGAGAGCTTGCAGTCTCACACTCTAGGCCTAGACTAAGAGACCCAGAGTCTCCGAGGACTACTGAGCCTGGCTGCGAGCCACCACGCGGGGTGGGGTGGGGGTGGGGGCTCTGGAGGGGGTGGGCTCTCTGGAGCCAGGGTTCCCCGCCCCAGGCTGGATCTTCTGCCGCCCCACCCCCATCCCATACCAAAGTAGGTGGCCGGGCAGACGGAGCTGGATTGAGGCGGGCCTAGGACTCCTCTTCCCGCCTCAGGGGAAGGGGCGCCCGAGCAGCAGGTGGAAGCTCCCAACCGCTTGTGCAGTCGCCAGCCACATGCCGGGTCTCCATCCCGCGTCCCGCCCTTCGGGACAGTCTTTGGAACCCTTTGGGAACTCTGTAAAAGGCGGGTCCCGGGCGGGGTGGGATGTAGAGAAAGAGCAGCCGACCCGGCAAATTGAGGGGGGGGGGGTGTTCGTCCTCGCGCCCACTCTCCGGCCAAGGCATTGACACACACTGGAAACACTGGGGTTTACAAAGTACCCAGAACTGTCAGAGCCTACAAAGGCGCACACCCGGGCGCCACAGGCCTTAATTCTTGGACACCCGGGGAAAAAAAATCTTAATTTTAAAATAATAGCTGTTTTTATTTGCAGAGCTAAACATTGAATTCAGGGCCTTCACCCTGAGCTAGCTCTATATTTACATTTCTGAACCTTGTTTAATTCTTTACTTTGAGACAGGGTCTTACTAAATTGCCCTGACTGGACTGGAACTCATGGTTCTCCTGCCTCAGCCTCCCAGAGTGCTGAGACTACAGCTGTATGCCAACACGCCTGGTTACATTTTTCATAGTGTGTAAAGCAGGCCCTGCGTGCACACAGCGAGTCCCCTGCTACTCGCGCTACCGCTGACTCCCAGCGCGCTCCGCCTGACCGCATGCTTGCAGCACCTCCCGAGTCCTCAGCGCTTCCTCGCGACAAACTACTTTTTGCTCAAAAGTAAAGTGAGGATGAGGGGACTCGAGGTTCCCAGGCTTCCGAGGAAGCCGGACCATTCCTGTCCCCGATCTGATTCGGGGGCTCATTTGTGCTCCAGAAACGTCGCGGGCAGAGCCTCTAACTCAACAACCGGCAAAGGCGCATTTTGAGTTGTCCAATTGCCGCCAAGTCACAAAGTTGCTTAATATTCAAGGCCATTTTCCTAGCGGCTCTCGGGGACCCATCCGAAGTCACGCTTAGCTGTCGCTTACCTGCCCACGGGGACCCCGGCCTGCTCGAGGCCACACACACCTGGCCCCGCAGCAAGCAGACGCCTATGAAACGATGTCACTTCTCCAGTGGTATCCTGGGACCCATCTGGGCGCGACCCGAAGCAGGCGAGAAGGCTAGGGCTGGAGCCCCAGTCCACCGGGGGGCTTCTGGGGCTCGGGGTCCGAGGCTACCACATACCTCCTGGCCAGCTAAGCCACCTTACTTACCTTGGGCGCCGCAAGGCGAACAGGAGGTCCACAGTGGCCAGGCGCTGGGCGGCGCAGACTCGCCTCCCTGCTCCAGTCCGGCCTGGCGAGGCCGACCCGACCCGCAGCAGCGCCCGCGCCGGAGCCACCCTGCACCCCACGGGGCCTGCCCGACCCCACCGCCATCCCTTTCTCCTGGCAGCTTCTGCCCAGGCCTCTCTCCTCACCCTTAGGAGCTGGAAATTCATGTTGCCAGGTCTTCGACTCTGTGACTTGAGTTTAAAGCGTTCCAACTACCAGGAAAGAGCTCCCCGAGGGCCGAGTCCAGGGCTGTAAACTCAGGCTGGGAGCGTGTATTTAATTAACGGGGAGGGGGAGGGGTGAGGTGGGAGGACAGATGCACGACCAAAACAGCTGTCGGATTGGAAGACACCTGAGAGATCCTCCTTCCACCTCCCCTGCCCTCCTCCCTCTTGGAAACTGAGCTCTTGCCCTTCGGATAGGGTCTTCCCGGTGTCCTGCGTGGTCTTCACGTTCGCATCCAGCATGCAGTAGGGGGCTCCTTTCAACAGGTTTTTAATGGAGCGAATCTTTCTGGCTAAAGACACAGTTATTTGTTTGTTTGTGTTTTATCTCCGCAGCCAGAACTGTTAACATTGCCATGAAATCTGCGCAGTCATTTCTAGTTTTCATCTGGCTTCGAGTTCCAGATCCAGGTAAAATGAAATCAGGGGGCAGACCCTGGAAGGTGGTGTCCTGGGGTCTTCTTCAAAGGCCCAAGTGGCTTTACTTACACCTTGGCGATCACAAGCTATTTGCCTTACAGAAAGAGGCAAAGTACAGCGGGAGAAACCGAGAGCCGGGATAAAATACAATCTTGCTGGGGAAGATTAGAAACACGGAAAGAAATAAGCTGTCCTTGCTGGGCGGCTCTCCGAGACCTGGCAGGAAGAGAAGACGGCCCTGCTGAGCATTGTCTGAGTCTTTGCTGGTTATCATTCAAGACCTGACAAGACAACAGGTCCTCTTCTTTCGCAGGGCGGGGCGGGTTGGTGGTGAAGGAACCCCAAGTTCCTCTAATTTGGACCTTCAAAGAAAGAAGTGTCAAGAGCACCCCAGGCTCTAAAGTGTCTCTGGGGTCACAGAGCCTTCAAAGCCTGAGGTTTAGGGGTTTTTTTTTTTTGTTG